GGAAATAATATATAACTTTGACTAAACTTTAATATGATAACACGATCAGGAAGTGACATTAAAACTTTGCTGGGGATGATTAAGTAATTAAAAGACGGCCAAAAAGAAAGAGACAGAAAATTATGATACAGAAACTTGAAGGAGCAAGCAAAAGGAGACAGTGAATTAGAAGAACAAGACAGAAAATTAAGAGAAGAATTGAAAGAAAAATGCGAAATATTTCTAGAACAAATAAAAACAAAAGTATATCTGTTTGAAGACAAGATTGATAAAGCTTTTGGAGATGTACATAGTGACTACAACAATAAGACTGCAACAGCACAATAGACATCAACGCAGTAAAGAAATAATAAACAAAAATACAGAAAGATTGATAAAACTTTTGGAGATGTACATAGTGACTACAACAATAAGACTGCAACAGCACAATAGACATCAACGCAGTAAAGAAATAATAAACAAAAATACAGAAAGATTGATAAAACTTTTGGAGATGTACATAGTGACTACAACAATAAGACTGCAGCAGCACAATAGACATCAACGCAGTAAAGAAATAATAAACAAAAATACAGAAAGTCTATAAAGGCAAGATTGGAGAATTACAAAAATAAATCAGTGATGTGAAAATGAACATATCATTAACAGGGTATAGCATTTGGAAAGTGAATTAATAAATGCAAAGATCAGTAACAGCCACGCTGCTTTTTTATATGCCCAACACATCCAACATAAAACACCATTTACTATAAAATATGGAATAGAAGAAACTATTTATTACACACCTGTTACCACTACTTATGTGCCAACTGTGACTACAGGACCGTATTGGACTGCCCTTGCTATGCCAGAGCTAAATTCAGTTAAACAAATCATCCAATCAAGAACCAATGGATTATTATGAGATACAATGAGAGGTATATCAGGTTGATACAATTTTCCGAGTGAACAGGTGTAATCGTGAAAAAAAGTTATTCATTTTGCCGCCCAGTTTTAACAATGTTAAGCAATCTTCCAGATGAAAGTCATTACAACTATCAAGCATTGGTAACTGCCTTATTACTGTTTTGGAGCAGGGTACAGAGAAAAGAAGATACCTTATCTGAATTATGAAAGATTTTGAAACTCTTGTCCAATTATTTTACTTGGTTGCTCCACGTGAAACGACAAATTCATTGGCATGTGATGAAATTTTTAGATGCCATAACAAACGAAGATTTAACAGTAGACTGAGGTAAAGTATATTTTAACTTTTAAAGGGCGAGCTCCAGTTGGTAAAGGAAATAAAACACAACACAATAGGTGTGTTTACACGTAGCTTGGAAGTATTTATTGTCAGGAACTGCAGACAAAAGTTTGTATGGGATAAAACTCCTCTTAAAGAATATCAAAAAAAAAAAAAGAAGAGAACTGCTCTAAATATGGGAAATAACCACTACAGACGAGCTATGAAGAAAAAAGCTATTAGTAAACCAAGGAGACTGTACTCTAAGTATGAGTTTCAAAGCCAAACAAAAGCTAACAAAAAACAAGAGTTAGATGGACTTATGGATCGAAGGTTAGCTGATAATGCTCCACCTTCCACAAATAATAGAATAAATTCATTATTTAAAGAAACCAATCCACGAGCCCACAGGTTTATTGATGGGAAGCCTCACAGTATGTTGAACGATACTGGTTATACATCCACAACTGTTCAACCAGATATGGTAATGGAAGGTGGGATATTGTTTCCAGAGATGAAAAAAAGATAAGAAGAAAGTTAAAAGTTATCATTACTGCAAGAAACTTCTTCACACCTCTGATTTGTGGATCAATGACATTGAGGAAGAGTGCATATTGTGAACTGACATGAATATTGACATGAATGTGAGGTTATTCTAGCTTCAAATATTTTCACACTCTACAAATAGGAAATTCTTGTGTACTAAATAACAATTACTACACCAGAGATTGAATTTTCATTGATGACACGGAGAACAGTTACCTGAAGGATCGATGTTTGGAAAACTCTTGTGGACCTGAAGAATATTATATCATTATTGGGACCATTGATACAACAAACCATAAAATTCCAGTCAAATCCGGATGGATCATACAGATGGTACTTTCATAACAGGAAACACTAGAAGTAGCGCCCTTTGAGGGAAGTTGTTGTAGTCAGATATCAAATCGTTACATAAAGATAGCTCACCATATCAGTTAAAAGAGCTGCATAACAGGAATTGTAGAGGTCTTACAGCTGATAAGTGTCATGGATTAAGTAGCTTGCTCATGAATATCAAGAAACAATCTTCAATATATCTCATGATTTAGGCTAAATAAATAAAACATATCTTCAGATATTGATACTGGAGATGCAGCCCAGATATGTAAGTTAGTCAGATGAATACCACTTGCAAAGCAGGTTTAGGTCTTCAAAGAAAAAGAAGCTATGAAAAATCAAGGAGCAATAGAACTGACTACTAGTCCTTGGGCATCTGCTGTACTTGTGAAGAAGAAGGCTAGATTCACAAGGTTCTGAGTGGAATAATGGAAGATGTATGAATTCATACAGAAATATGCCTATCCATTGATAAGGATTGACTGTATTTTGAATACTTTATCTGGATCAAAGAGATTTTCAACTTTGGATCTAAATAATGGATTCTAGCAAGTGCAAGCCAATGAAGCAAGTAGAGAGCATAAAGCCTTTACTGTAGGAAATGGATTGTGGTTATTTGTTGTGTTACTATTTGGATTATGTAATATATCTGCTACTTTTCCATGACTATAGCCCTTCTTTGATTTTCTGACAGGATGAGAGAGAGGTACAACTTTACACTTTTAAATCAATTAGCCATTTATGAACATCAGAGAACATTGAATCAAGACATTTCACTGCCAATTATGAGTTATCCAATTATAGTACATGAATCTATAGACAACACCTTATCATCATCTATGTTTGGGAGAGAACTTAAAGTGCCATCGGACCTATGATATTAATGCTGATAAGACTGGTTTCCATTGAGGTGATATGGTATGGCTGGATAATTACCACCACAGGAGAAGGCGAACTTTAAAGTAAAGCAGGTGGTGGGAATGGTCATATGTGTAATGAAAAAATAAATGGTGTGGTTGATAGAACCTACAAATACAGGTGGTACAAGCCAAAGGTCATACACAATGATTAACTTTTATATTGGTGAGAGAATTGCAAGCTTAGTAAGAATTTGCCATTGAAAAGTCGACCTCAAGATTCCTGTCAGAAATCACTTCCAAGAATAGACTCACCAATGGATTTATTCAACTACCAACCTTGAGAGAACTCTCATAATAACAGAGATACAAGTGATTATAAGAGACAATGTATCATTCCACTTATATACCATAACCCTTTGAGATAAAAGCCACCAAAAAGACTTGTTCAATGTCCAATTTGGTGTATTATTTTATGTGTTAGGATTGTTCAAGGCACCTCAAAATCCAGAAAGGAGGCAGTGTTGTAAGCTATATTTAAATTTTTAATTTAGATGTTTATTTGCTGGAGAGAGCTAACCATAATGATGACACAATATCTAGTTTCTGAGTTTCTCTTCAAAAGCTTATTTCTGAAGTTAAGTCTACCAGTGAACATAGCCTACAGCAAACATTACTGAAGAAGTAAATTGATTTGTTATCATTAGGTGGTCTGGACTTGGCATTATTCTTATCAAATAATCCACAAGAAATCACCCAAAAATATAATACGTTTGAAGAATAATGTTATGTGTGCAGTCAGGTGATTTCTACCTACTGAAGCAAAAATAATTATTGATTATTAGCTTTACTGAAATCTCCTTCAGTGATATCACGTTAGTAATACTATCGTCGTGAGAACAGTCATAGATGACTTTTTGGGGTTTTTGCAAAACAATATTTATAATCATTTAAAGTTTGAACTGGCACCTACCTCAATAACTTACTTTAAAACGCTAGTATTATAATATTTCATAGAAAAGTTTACCTTTTGAAACCATTTTGTTTAAAATACATAGCTAGAAAAAGTAATACGATTAATGCTAATTTAGTTTTATACTAAGAAATTGATATCAAGTTATTCATTAAATTTTTACATAGAAATCTTAAGCTAATTGACCAATTGTCAACATCTTTTATATAAATCTCAAAATTTAATTTGTTTTTTTTAAATCAAAGGAGTAGAACCATATTAAATATTTGTTTGTATGTAATTAAGCACAAAGCTACACAATGGGCTATCTGTGCTCTGCCCGCCACGGGTATCGAAACCCGGATTCTAGCGTTGTAAATCTGCAGACATACCGCTGTGCCACTGGGTGCGGGAATATTAAATACAAAGCCATTATCTTTCTTTGTTGAATGAAAAAAATATATTTATAAACCAATCACGTTTGATACATGGTAAATATCTAAAGTACAAAGAGCAGATTTGAAATGTCTGTTTCTAGAGGTTTACATAAAAAAGAATCTTCTCAAACAAAGGTTAAATCGCAAACTAATAAATCTTACCCATAGTTAATGTTAATATTGCTTTTAGCTATTAATCACTCAGATGTGTAATTTTCTTGTACAAAGGGTTGAGTGTGTTATATTAAACGATTTTGAATATGTAGATAAGATTTATACACGCAGATCATGAAGACGTGTTCAGATCAGGGACTTGGAATTTCATAGACAAAAATAATCACTGTACTTGACGGAATTGAAAAACACAATAATATGGATCAACTTGAGGCACCAAGACTATCCTTAAAGTGACTTGCATCAAGTCATATCCCAACTGTGGTTAGCGGCTTCTTGTAACAGACGAGAATTCAGGAACGAAAAGGTCAGTAGCAAAAGCAGCTAACATGGCCTAGAGAACAGTACGAAATGTAAGAAAGAATAATATATATATCAGGAAAAATGACACAAGTCACGTGCATCAAGCTGCTTCACGACATGTCTATTCAATGATCACATACCTTAATTAGCTTGAAAATGAAACAGATGTTCATGTTATTCTATACAAAATAATACCAGCTAAGTTGCCAGGAAGCAAAATCTGTGGAGTTAAGTGTGTTTGGGCATTGAAATGGGTACTAGGAACTAACATCTCCATATACTAGATGAATTATGGAAATCGAGGAAGAATTGGTGAGCTTCAGACGTAATATCCTTATGAAGAAGCCATTTGCAATGGAAGCTACATTTACAGGCTACTGCAATGGTACAGGGTTGTTAGATAGAGCATAACCGAACGTGGTGATAGAGACTGTAACGATATGGTAAGGCTCCAAAGTCGTTTTAATATAACGTACTCAACCTCTGTATAATTCTCTTTTTTTCTTTACTCAGTGTTAACATGCTAACAGTAAGAATTTATTATAGACCATTAAAACCAATGAATATTATTTTGAAATTCCGAATTTTTTGAACTTCCAGGGTTATCTATAGTGATAGTTGTCGTGGCTACCATTGTAACTGGTTTAACAACAATGTCTATGTCTGCTATCTGCACCAATGGCGAAGTGAAGGGAGGTTAGTGGATAATGAACAATTTTTTAGGTTAAATGTAAAGTGATTAATACATAAGCATTTTATAGTTTCAAGACGGTTTATTATCTCTAATTTAGTCTTCAACCAACTAATCATGTTAACATGTGTTGATTCGTGAGGAGCTTTGCTTCTATGATTATTTGTTACTAGTTTTGTGACAAAAATACACACAATTTATAAAGCACAAATAGGACATGAATATTATATTACTATTCCATATTAAAGCAAGGTTATTTCAGATGTTAAGATAAAATGTGTTGGTTTTATTCCCATTTTACCATTTGATAAATAAATTTTTTGATAATTTATGAGTAAAAAATGATTTGTATTTTCATATATATATAAACAACAAGAACAATGTGTATTATGTTTTTGATTTTATGAAAACCATTATTGCACTGTTTATATATATATCAGTCGTTCAAGGACTTTATTACAGCTGGTAAGACTGCTAAATAACTAGCTTTTTCTAAAAAAATGTAGGATTTATTTATCGATTTATCGAACTAATCTTACCCTTCAAGACCTAGTGGTAATGAAAGTTGTTTTTTCTAACTGTTATATCCCAACTCCACCTATTGCTGAGTGTACAGTATGCTTTATATCTGTATTATTGCGAACGGCTGGCATGGCCAGGTGGTTAGGGCGCTCGACTCGCAATCTGAGGGTCGCGGTTCGAATCCCTGTCCCACCAAACATGCTTGTCCTTTCCGCCGTGGGGGCGTTATAATGTGACGGTGAATCCCACTATACTTTGGTAAGAGATTAGCCCAAGAGTTGGCGGTGGGTGGTGATGACTAGCTGCCTTCCCTCCAGTCTAACACTGCTAAATTAGGGACGGCTATCGCAGATAACCTTCGTGTAGCTTTGCGAGAAATTAAAACAAACAAACATTACTTTTAAGAAAGTGGATAAACATAGGAATATGAAAGAAAAGAAGTTTCCTCCTTTTACGTCTTAAAAGGAAGGAAAATGAGGGAATAAACTTTTCTAAAATGTAATACATCTCTCTATGTATAACGCATAGTTGCCCACCTGTCTGGTGTCTTGTAGTTAGAAGTTATGATTCGACATTTATTTCGTTGGTGTCTTGGATGTGGCGGTCCAGAATTTGTGTGTATCGTTCGCCATGACAGGACTACAGAATACATGTGACCAACAAATGTACCTCTCCTACGAGGACTACAGAATACAAGTGATCAACAAATGTACCTCTCCTACGAGGATTACAGAATACAAGTGACCAACAAATGTACCTCTCCTACGAGGACTACAGAATACAAGTGATCAACAAATGTACCTCTCCTACGAGGGCTACAGAATACAAGTGATCAACAAATGTACCTCTCCTACGAGGACTACAGAAGACAAGTGATCAACAAATGTACCTCTCCTACCCCCGGAATTAAACTTCGCTTTCGTTTGGCGTTGGCTTCAAGCAGTAAATTTTTAAATGATAGCCAAATTCGCTTGATTGCTTATCCATTTAAACCTAATCTTTGGTTGGAGGGGAGGGGGGGTCTACCTGACTTCTTCTACAATATTGCATCTGAGTTGATTTGGTCAGTTCGCAATGAGAGATTGCATTTGATAGTTTATATATAAAAGTAAAAACAAATTATGATTTGAATAAGAAATAAAGAAAATAGAGGACAGAAAAAAACACAATTAAAACAACTTAAGAGCATACTTACATCGTACAGTGGTCAGCGTCAGTATTGCGTCTTTCGAAAGCAACCAGAGCTCATACAAAGCAAAGAAACAAACAGAATAAACGTGATAGTAAACGAATGATTGTGTGAGACGAATAATATAGAATTCTCAAGTATGATAATGTAGAAGGAAGCAACTACGTTAGAAATTATTCTATAATGAAAACGAGAAACACGGATAAGGCAGCAATAGAAGGGAGAATAAGGTAAACACGCTACAAGTCCGACAATGATAAATAAAAGGAGTTTAAAAGCCTTAGGGCTGTCTATCAAGTTCAGTTCTGATGACGTTGTTAGTTAAAAACGTGGCACATTATACAATAAGAAATTCACTGCAACTGCACTCTAAGAATGGTCAAATGAAAAGCTTGTAAATCACAACACATGAACAGCTTTAAGCTTAAATTTCTATGTGATTAAAAAGTCAACTCTATTAAATATAGCCTACTGAGAACACGGAAAATGTTGAGACTGATGAGAAGCTGGCACCAAATATGAGGCCAAGCTTTTTACTTGTGTTTCTAACTGCTTTAGATCACCATGTAAAGCGATTTTACCACATATGTCTTTTGTGGGATGAAGTACGGTAAAATAGGGTAGAGTGAATTTTATCGTGGCTGAGAAGAAATTTGCATTCACCAGCAAGAAAAATTATATAAAATAACTTACATTTGCTTAACTATAAAAGTATTATATTATATTGTTTTAGGCAATTGGATAATTCGGGTGTACAAGAATGAAACGGATCGGTAAACAACGAGTAGCCTAGCACTTAACAACAAACAAACAAACAAAACTAATAGAAACGAGATGTTACGAGCTTAGAAAGAGACTAAGGACGGGTGCTTTAGGTATTCTGGTATAAGGAAATGAATAATTAAAATAGGCGCTGTGTCATAATATTAATTAATTAACTTAGGTTACTATATGGTCAGTTAAAAAGGAGTTAAAATCCCATAAATATCATATCGACATTTCATACAACGGAGGAATTGATTTAACTATTTTCTATATAGGGGGTTCATTCTTTTTGATATCGAGAACCCTGGGTCCAGCATTCGGAGGATCTATTGGGATTATCTTCTCTTTTGCAAACTGCGTTGCTGTAGCCATGCATATTGTAGGAGCAGCAGAAACTGTTCGAGACTTACTTAAGGTAAGTTATAAACTTAATTTTGAAAATATCATGTTCTTATGGGAATAGTAGAACTTTTACGAATCTATCAGAGTAACTTATTGATTTACAAAAGTTTTAGTTTTTTGAGCCACAGAAATTAGGAAATCCCTTTTCAGAATACATTTTCAAATAAACGTAACCTCATAAATTGTATGAGCAAAACAAATTATCCTTAAATTTCTCAAACTGTCGTTTATCTTAACATTCGTTTATCGTTATTACTAAGGATATATGTATTAGGTCGTCAATAAATTAATGTCGCGTTTTGGAAAACTTTCATTAACCCCCCCCCCCCAAAAAAAAACGTATATAACATATAATAGTTAAACGAACCGCCTAAACGTCACGTTAGTGTAGCTTAGTATACTCCAATCCTTTATAGTGATGGCACACGACGACATACATTCGGCATGTAATGCTGTTTGAATACAAGAAGGGAAACAATGCCTCTGTAGCCACAAAGAATATCAAAGAAGTTTATGGAAATGTTTTGAA